GCAATTTGAACGCTATCGGCTTTAAGTACGGGACACTGGGGCCACTATCAGTTTTCTAATAAATTGCACAGAAGGAAATTACCTCCCAGCCGTGGTGGGGGAAGAACTAGTGCAAGTTAAAGTGTTTGCCAAACGACATTAGTGCTGTGAAATGCAATTATAATTGAAATCTGATTAAAAGCAGAATAAACATTCCCATTTGTTCCTTAATGCCATAATGCCCAACTTCCTCTAAATACGATCCACCCCATGGTGCAAATTTAGTTAAATAATGAAAAGCACCATTAACATCATCGGCCTTTTCGACTTGTCCTATACGACAGAATGTGTTTCCCCCACACACACGCACGCACGCACACACGCATCGTGGTCCAGGCGGATGCTCACCTTTTGTTGGGTCGTTGTTGCGCTGACAACACGCATTCAACAAAGCCGTGGACGACACAAGTTCCGACGATTTCATGCGACAAAGAGAACAGATTGCCTATATAGTCTGATTGCCATATATAGAATGATCCAGATGGTGAGGATATAGCGACAACGACGCGGTCGGGAACAACAGCAACGTCTCAGTCAGAAAATCATTGTGCGTGCATAATTTACACTCTTGACTCAACTTCCACTGCCACTTCTGGCTCCTTCAGGTTCGACAAGTTGGCTTTGGCGCTGTGCCCTCTGCGCGTATGTATTTTTAGAATCTCGAAGCGGTGCACGTTATATACGATAATTTGCTCAATTTATTTTTGAAATCTGTCATAGCAACTACAAAATGTAATTGCTATTGTTGTTGGTGTTGTTGTCGCTGCTGCTTCAAAGGACACGGGCATTTACATGGACGAACGAGAGCACGCTTTTCTTGACTTGCTTTTCCTTGCCTCGACTTCGAGCCCACAAAATAGGATACACAAAATGCTTTTCCACACAACTCCGTTGGCTTTGGCTGTGGCTCTGGATGTGGCTCCTGTTAATGCCTCTGGCATATGACGATTCTTTTGTGTGTGCGTGAGTGGTTTTTTGATTTTGCTGCGTCTTATAGTCACACTTTTCACTTGCGCTTTATCTATTCTCGAATTGGCGCTGCCTTATCAACTTTCTCTGCAATTACTCCTCTGGAAATTACTTTTCCATCTGTTTCGATTTGATATCTGGGAGTATGTTTCATTTCTAGGACACTGGTACTTGGCGCTTTTATTAAATACAAACGTACACATGTACGAGTATCTATGTCTGTGTCTGAGTCAGTGTAGGTGCGCGTGTATCTATGTGTGTGTGGTGGTCCTGTCTCAGTGTGTATTTTGTTTGTTTCGCGTGTCGGCCAGCCGCTGCCTTATCTGTGCTCTTGGAGTGAATGTCGCGTACTAGCGTGAAAGCCCGTTGGACTCCAATCTGTTTGCTCAAGGATGTTGGTTGTTGCCTGCCCTGTGTGTATTCCATTCGTAAAAGCTTTCCACAAATTGGCGAAAGCTTTTCTTTACAGTACAGCGTGTAGTACGTATAGATTTTAAAAGAGAGGGAAAGGTTTGAAAAAGAGTTGGAGAGGGAAAATTCGACAGTCTTAAAAAACGAATTTTTGGATAGAAGTGGGATCATGAAAAAAATATGCTATAATGAGAAAATATAGTTTTCCTTGAGTACAGAACTATCGATATAAGCAATAATGAAATGCATAAACAGTTTTTAAAATTGTTTTTCTCATAAATTATTATTCAATATAAATAACAGTGGATATTTCCAGTTAAAATTGTATCTTATTAGTAATTAATTATTTCTCTAGAAAACAGTACATGCATGTAAAATCTAATTGTTTACTCATCTCCCTGTTTTATACTTATTAACCTACGTATGCGCAATAACCAAAACTGTCCCCATATATTCCATACTTCTTTTCCCAGACAATCCTTCAACTGAAAGTCTAGATATTCCACAAGCCTTTGTTGGTAAAGCTCTTCAATCGTTGTCTATTAATAGATAACCACTGGCAACTAAATGGAAAAATTACAAACAGAGGAAAAAGCTCAAAACTCGCCTTCTGTTCTAGTGGTTTCCAAAGAGTCTGCCTGTCAAATTTCATGAATGAACCCTCAAGCGAAATTCAAGGAAATGGCGAGAAAACCCGCAAACCAATAAATGCCCAGCCGCACAGAAATATAAGCTTCATCAAGTTGGCCAACGTGTTTTTGGATCTAAAATAGCCTGAGCCATAGCCCTAGCCAGTCATGAAGTAGGCGAAAAATGGCTCCACGAGCTACATATGGCGCAAACTCCAGCTCTCTTTCTCGCTCTCGCGGGTCTATGGCCCATAGGGTGTCTCTTTTTTTGTGGCATAGGCCAGTGCGCGTCTCGCTGCTCGCCGCCTGATTATTTTTGATGAATGAAAAGCTTGCTGTTTTAGCTTGCCGCTATCTGCGTGGCGGCTAGAGTGAGTAAAAATGGGGAAAACTCCTACCTTCGCTACCCCAAGCCCATAAAGTCGTTTTCTGTAGTTGTAAAACAGCGACAGCTACTGATGTTCTGGAACCATGCATAGTAAAAGCGTGCTAACAGTGCACTATGGTCCCAACGACCACTTTTGTTGGTCAAAAGCTAAAGTTAAAACCAAGAAGCGGTTTTTGGCGCTCAGTAGTAAAAAAAGATTTCACAAAATCTGCTGTGAAACCTAGCGGTCATTATTGCACAGAATGTGCAGTGAAAAAGTACCAATTTGATTGCTATTTTAAATATCTCAAAAATTTTAAAATACGAATAACTAATCCAATTTGGATGCATTTTAATCAGTAGGGTTTTTACTACGTGTTTTGTAATGTGAACGGTATCTAGTAGTTTGCGATGTCTAAATGTATGTTAAAGTGAGGCCTTCAATATGTATCAGTTCGTAGTCAAAACTAATTTTTAAGTTTTTGTAATAGAGTGCCACCTAGTCCCACCTTGAAACCTATTGTGAGTCGTAAAGCACTAAATGATTGTTAAAATGTATGTAGTCAGAAATGCCACATTTGGCCAAAACTCTTACAATTTGCATTTATAGAGCATAACCTCAAATGAGAAAGAGCATGCTTTGGGGTAGAAAAAATTCGATATTCTTGGATTTTAAAGTTTTTTATAGAATCTTGAACTACTAAACATATTCCCATCCATTTTTTGCTTCGAAAAAAACTAAAAACCGATTTCCCTTTAAAAAATTCGGTGCCATGCCTATTTTCTCAAAAAAAAAAAAACCTGCCTCTTGCTATTCTTAACTAATCTCAAAAGACTAAATCAAAAAATCCTATTTCGTTTGCGAGTTATTAATTTAGGACAGAAAAAGTGGTCATTGGGACCATAGTGCAGTGTGTGTGTGTGTGTGTGTGTTAGTATCTGTATGTAGCTGCGTGTGTGTGGAACGTGACATGCTTTTTTTTTATAGATGACTAATATGGGCAAATGCCTATCGCCTATCGAAGGATTTGGCGTACATTTTGGCGACAAGTCAGAGCAGATACACATTCTTTGCCCAAGCTGTGTCTGTAACTGGTGTGATGATGTCAATGTCGTCACTGAACCATATGAATGCGCTGTTGACTCATGCAGCTTAAAGTGTGGAGTGTGAGTGTTGCTTTCAATGTTAATTGAATTGCTTCGGGCTGATATTTTTTGTGTAGACTAGAGAAACAAAGAAAAGTTCGCGTATGACAGATTGAACTTTGGCCTCATGTTTGGAGGATTAGCTTAATATGCCTTGAAAACAGGTCTGGATGTGGCTTTGTGGTTGATTTATTGTTTAAGCTGTTGAAGTTCACCTCTTTATTTTTGAATTTTAGCTTCTACTACTTATCAAATCAGGGATCAGGGATAAAAAATGCACACGAAAATAGGGGCGGAAAATGATGCCAAAACATACGCAAGGACAAAACGAGATCTACATCAAAATAAACACGAATATTGTGCGGGGACTATTTTAATTTCGTCTTAGTTATCTGAGTCGAGATCGCCGAAATCGGGCTGAGCCTGAAACTGTAGGCTGCTTGGGGCAGGCAGGCCGGTAAAGCAGGCAAGGCAGGCAGTCAGGCAGTCAGGCAAGGAGGCGTGCGAATCCTTGGCATTGGCTGGCTAAGACATTTCCTTTTTGTGCGTTGCTCTGTTGAAAAATGAAGTGCAAGTTATGACAACGGCCAGTGCACGAAAAACGCGGAAAAGAAAGGTGCTAAAGCACAGAGCGAGCGAGTGCCTAACGCCTACACAGTCCCCAGAAAAGTGTGTATAAACTGTTTTGTATAAACAAGAGAAACCAGAGAAAGTCTGTGGTTTGCGTGGGATTACATGGCAAAGCATAACTTTATTGAAGCTGGGCTGAATCACATCTCCCTTCGGCCCTGGCCCTGCCACTGCCACACTTAATAGCTTGCGCGTGGCGTTGTCAGCAAAATCGGCGCCATTTTAAATGGTCGCGTGTAGTCTGTAGTTTGCGGCGACCTCGCCCACATGGCCACAGGCCCACATGGCTACACATCTTGTTGCGCCATTGCCCGTGTACCACGGTCAAGCTCTCGAGCTCTTTGGCCAATGTCAGCCTCACGTCAGCGACCTCCACCCCGCCTTCACACCTCCACAGAGAACAAACTCCATCATGACCCTAGGCCAAACAAAGGGGCGCCCAATGTCGCGTGACGCACAGGGATATTGAGTTCTTTAATTGATGTTGTTGCTTGTTTTTTTCTAGCTTACATTTGATACAGGCCAGGCTGCCTGGGCACTATGGCTTGCCCTGTCACGTGTTTGCAACAGCAAAGGGTTCGTATATGAAAAGCTTTCTCTTAGTGTGTGCATGAACCTTGACGAAGAACTTTCTAGTGGTGACAGGAGTGGAAAGAAGGGGGAAATAGGCCCATTTGGGGGCTGGTTTATATATGTTAATTTATTCAGTTCGATAGTCTTATGAGAATAATTATAAACGAGCGCGCCAGAGATCTCTTTGCTCTCGGCAGAAAAAGGAGTTTCTCTAAAAACCTTCCAAAATCTGTAAATATGTTTTCATTAATATATTTTATTTATTCTCTGTTAAAATCTTGGTTCGTCATTGATTTCACATTAAAGACTGTTACAAAAACTGAGTTTATGTTCACAGAGCTTTGACTAGAAGTGCTTTATACCCAAACGAAGGCACACAAAAGCGATGCTCGTACAGCGTATCTAAAACCGTGTATTCTTGTTGTTCTCCGGCGAAGCAGGTAGCGAGGACACGGATGATCGTGAAGGACTATGCTGTGGTCGTGGTGGCGAACGTTGGGGATTAATGTTGGCATTGGCCTGACGTAGATTGGCAAAGAACTGCTGTCGGCGTGGGCCGCCGCCGCGTAGGGGTAACGTGGGTATCTCGCTGGGCGACTGATGGTTCATCTCCTCCTGCGAACAGTGACGCATTGCGGGATTCACGCACTCATAGACGCTCTGAAATAAAGTAAATATTGAGTTAAATCAAATAACACAGCTAGCTCCTACAGCACCCACCTGTTCTGAGGAGTACTGATTGTTTTGGGCAAATGCCAGCGATGTGAGAGACGGTAGAGCCTGAGCAATGTCCGAGCGTTCAATTCCCCGCACAATGAGGAAGGAGCGTGGTATCAGAATGCCCACCAGCACGGCCCAGCCCGAGGCCTGTAGTCCCAGCGGAATGGCTGCATCCCGCCACTCATCGCCAAACAGGGAGAGTAAAATCCAAGCGATCCAAATGACCAGAACAAGCACTGCTCCAATGACAATGAGTATTCCCTCGCGATAGTTGCGCTGCGATCGATATATTGAGGGTATCAGCGCAGCCACACAGCAGAGCAGCAAAAAGTCGTAGGACAACAAGCCCCACAGCCAGTGTCCATAGTATAGATTCTCGCAAGATACCGCCTCGGAGGCAACATGCATTACGACCAGCAGCTGTACAGACATTCCCAGCTGAACGAAGACACTGAAGGCACAAATCACAGCCTGGATGTAGCCGTTTACGTGGGATAGGAAGCCGCCCTCAGAACCAATGGAGGCCAGCATTAGGGCCCTGCACAGAAGCAGCGAAAACACAAAGCAGTAGACCAGGGACATGATAAACACCCGCACCGCACACAGCGTGTTGAGGGTCTGAGCATCCTCTAAGGTCACGTGGGAGTTGCGCTGCTCGCCCACATACTCAATGGAGAAGGGCACAAACGAGCAGAATACCAGGATCAGCGAGAGTAGCAGTAAGATCGAGGTGACGGGATTTCCCTCGAAGACATCGCCCACCGAAATACGCACCACAATGAACACTAAGATGGCCAGCGTGGCTATCAGGCCTAGGATGGCGGCCGTCAGTCCCGTTGCCACCCATGTGTCCACTTTGATGCGCCAGAACATGACCGATTCGCCGTCAAAGAGGAAAGGATATCGTCGGTTGTCCCCTGCACTATACTGACAATTGAACACTTGTCCGAACTTGGTCTTCAGCTCAAGGCTGGTGCTGTTGTCGCGATTGTAGTGGTAGTAGGTCGTCACATTACTCACTACATTTTGCGAGGCAATCTCTCGCAACTCCGTGCGACTTTCCCCCGTAATCTTGTCGAGCGTTTGCACCTTCTTCTGGTACATCTGGAAATTCATGGCCGTGGTAAGCTTACGCATAAGCAGCAGCGACAGAATCTCTGCCGTCTTGTGCGCCTGACGGTACTCGGACGTGCGCCAGTCCTCGATGAAGTTGAGGAAATTAAAGCAACTCTCCAGTACATACATTTCCCCATCCCCTTTGCAGTGCTTGTCCAAAGAGCCACGCAGCCAGTGTATCAAGTCCACCAATGGATTGGCAAAGCTAAGCACTCGCGAGGGTAGCACACTCTTCCCAATCAGCACCTCATCCAGGGTGGTGGGAGTAGGATCCAGTTCGCTGGTGGTGCCCAAGTCGATTTCGTTTTCCATAAGGATAAAGGCTCCGTTGGGAAGATCTGTACGGAAGAGAATGCGTAGAATAAATGTTATTATATAGCTTTAATTTATACTAACCTGCCAAAAACTCAATATCGGTACGACCGGTGGGCACCGCAAAGAGGGTACCGTTCTCTTTGAAATGACTGGCCATCTTGTTGCCAAACAAAATGTAGACGTTGTCGTCGCTCTTAAAATGCATCAGACACATGTGTTCCTGGCGGGCGGCTTCCATAAACTCATTGTACATGTCCAGATTTTCGCTGGCAATCTCAACGGATGCAATTTTCTCACCCCACGGCATTTGATGCAACAAATGTGCCACCTTGGGGAAAAGAAAGGCATGAGTGTCTGGTATGGGCCATATGTTGTACTCCAGATCTTTGATGATTGACTCCAGTTGCTTGTACAACTCATAGTCCGTGAATATGCCCATGGAGTACTGGATGCACTGCTGCAGATATTGAACCTCCTGCAGGAGAATGCTTTCGGCCAGGCTGTCGTTGTCAATATTGATGGCACGAAGTCCTAAGAGTAAGTGGGTTAAATGACAGGTTATTTATCTATCTCTTTAAATGAATGAATCGTTTGATTACCTATTTCAAAATCTGCATTTATGAGATTCGCTTGGTTCACTCGATTGACCACAAAGAGCGCCGAAATGGTATCTTTGGTCAAAACACTAAGCATCACATCGCCCTCTATAATCTGCACGAATTCATCTTGCGTTCGTGTGAGGATTCCCTCGTCCGGACTGTTGATTGTCAAGTGCAGTCCATTAAGGCATATCTCTGGCAGTAAGCTGGGTGTTGTGCCACTGCTCCCCCCATTACTCAGACTGCCACTGCTGCTGCTGCTCCCCTCCGTTGTGGATGCGATAAATGGGGCCAATTGGCCGTCACCCGGACTCGAGCTGGCTGTCTCATCAGTTGTGGGTGATTCGGTGCTGTTTGCCTTTGATGTGCTGCTGCGGATTGGCCTCGGCTGCTGTGTCGTTGGTTGCGGCTTGGTAATTCGCAGAAGAGCAGATTTCCTGGTTGGTGCTGACACCTCCACTCCATGGCAATCGAAGACACAGAGTAGTGTAATTAGGACACAGAAGAGCGCTGTATATTGATATTGAACTGTTTGGATTAAAAGTGTGTACTCGTTTTTCGCTGAGCACTAAATTATTGTATATTTCTCTTAAAAATATGTTCTCTTTCTTTATTCTTCCCTCTTTTTGGTGTGTGTGCAATACTTACCCAATTGGAATGGCCTCCACGAAGCAGATTGCCATGGTCTCATTACGTTCCTGCCTAAAATTGAACTGCTTTTTAGTTGATCTAAAAACTGCTCATGGACTGTGTAATGATTATGCAGTACACTAAAAACACAGAAAGAAAATTGTAAGTTTTTGAATTGGATAGTGTAGCACACGAGAGACAGGATTGGCCTGTTTCTGGTTTCAATCGTTATGGGAACTTTTACAGGCTTTTAATTTGAGCCAAAGCCCTTTGCCCCTTTAACCTTTGTCCGATGCTTTGAGCCGCGTTACGTTGAAAGTGTGGTACTTTAATCGCATTAAAAATTGTCACACTAACACACAGAGAGAGAGAGAGAAAGAGAGAGAGAGAGAGAGAGCGACTTTGGCTTGGCACAGTTTCGTCTCTGACGCTTTACCCGACTCTTCGTGAGTTTTTCCCCACTCTCAGTGTAAAGTAATCCGCTGGAAAATATTTATTTTCTCATATTCTTTTTTCACTTTAAGGAAAATCAATAGCAAAAAATTATTTTTTTCACTTATTTTCACATTTTGCACTGAACCAACTGACGCTGTGGCACACAATAATTTTGTTTTGAGCCAAAGCAAGACAAAAAATGAATGATGGTAACACCTCACTGATTTTAAGGTCAATTAAACATTTCTCGTTTTATATTTGTCCACTGAGGTAGGCAGTTCCCCCCACAAAAACCTCTCTGTTGATCATTCTGTGGACAATCAATTTGATTTGTGTCTGTGTCCCGTTTGTATACGGGTGCAGTGGCATTGCAATGACTAGAGAATATAGTCTAAACAAAGTTAACTTTGCAATTATTCAATGTTCCATTGGTTTGTTTTATTTCGCTTTTTTTAGCAGCTTGAACCCACCCTCGCAACGAGGGCAGAATGCGGAACACTAATGTTTGTCACCTGTTTTGGCTGTTTTGTTTTGTCTAACTTGTCTGAGACCGGGCACTGCCTCGTTGTTATGGTTATTGGGCTCGAGTTGTCACTCAACATTGAGTTATTTCCTCGCCACACTGTGCACTGTACCCCGTACACTCTGCCGTGTTTCATAATTATAAGAGCAAATCCATATGTACATTTTCGACTGGGTGGTATGCAAGCCCTGAGACGACTCAGACAGTTCAAATATTGGTCATTGCAATTACTCGATTCAGTGAAGAAAGTTTCGGGTTGCCCAATCAAAGAAGGGTGGCTAGGCTGTCCCATAGGTGCTGGTGGAGAAGTAATTATAATTGGAGAACAAATATTGGCCAGTAGCCTTTGGCAGCGTTCCCAATATTACACATCAAAGTTTACGCATCGAATCAGCAGCTAGCAAAATGTCATCCTTGGCTATTAACTAACCATAGAGACAGACGAACAGACAGGCGAACTGAAGGACAAACAGACAGACAAACAGATAAACAGACGGACAGACATGAGCTTTGACATTGGCCCAGCCTGGTCCAGCCAGGCATTTCTGGTTCTGGGGCTTTTGCATAACACTTTTAATTAATATCAAATGCGAAACAGCAGCTATTTAGTAACATTTCTGCCCCCCCGCAGGGACTCTTGCGTAACGAAATTTGAATTCAGAAATATCTCAAAGTCAACTCTTAATTACAGTTTGGATGCGATTCGTGGAAATTTTCAATTTTCATATAGTTTTTAATTAAAACTTTTGTGATATTCGAAAAAGATTTAATTTCACTTTGCACGCACGCACTATTATGTCGCCTCTAGACGACGTTCACGTTGCAACTGTTTTTTGGTCAGCAGCAAATATAAACAGAACTACCAGTACAGGTGCAGAACTGTGGCCGCCGTAAGCCCATAAAAATGCAGCTGCAGGTTAACCAGCCCCGGGCTCACGGGCCGGACCAAGGGTTGGGTTAGTGGGGTTGGTTAGGTCTTCCTCTGCAATCGACGCACTCTATGACATATGTCGCACTGAGGGTTTTTATATCGAAATTCAAGTAAAATTTTATATGGGTAAATAAATAAAATTTTTTTATCAATGTTTTAACCTTTAGATGGTTGTTTGATATTTGAATATTGGTTTTCTTTGAAAAATCTGTGATTTTCCTTAAAACCTTAAGACCCTTAAAACTTTATTTAAAAGTTGATTCACTGTCTTTACTTATGTGCAGTATTAGTGGCCACTCGGCTGCAGCATTATGTTATTTTTGCACTCAGTATAATACAGCTATTAGTGACGTCAAGTAACATTACTTTACTGGGATTTTGCATTTTTTTTTTAAATTTTATTTTGTAAAATCCCCGAGAAAATTCAAATGAACACATGAAAATATTTGTATATATGTAGTAAACACGTTAATTTCTCGTTAAATTTGTGGAAACATTTTAGACGAAACCCAAAGAATATTTTAGTATATTGTTTGTCTGATCAGGTTGGAGATTTCCCATTGAACATGGAGAAGCTATTGCCCATCCCCGGCTCCATTGTTGGACTGCCTGCGGAACGGGTTGACTGGCGCCGGTGCACGAGAGGTGACAGCTCCACTAGGGTATTTCAGGCCACAGTCGTCGTCGTCGCTGCATGAGGACGATTCATCATAGTACATGGCAAAGTCTTCCGTTTCGGAGTAGGCCTCATCCAAACTGTCAACCAGTAGCTTTCCCTCATTCTTCACCGCACCCGCAGCAAGCACCTTGTGCTTGGCTCCACCAATGCCGAGAGCGGCATTCGATTTGGCCTTGGCGACCAGGCTCGCCTCCAGTTTATTGAATGCATCGGGGGGCAAGTGGTTTTCATTCTGCTGGCCCATATCATTTTGCTGCATCTGTGTGCAGATGCGTTGTATGTGCCCCAACACTTCGGCCACTCCCAAGTGCGAGGATTGACCGACGATCTGATCCGATGACTTGTGAGGCTCAGGAGGGGTCTGCTGCTGGTGCGGCGCTTTCGAAGTGGTGCGGTATGCACAAGGATTCTGCACTTTGTTGGTATTACCATTGCCTGTGGGCAGCTTGCCGCGGTCTTGGGCCGTTTGGGTATGTTTGGGCGCTTTGCTAATGAACTTCTGGTTGGACATGGGACGAACAGTGCCCCCAAGCGAAGGTGCAACACCAATGGCAGCAAAATTTTGCTGCGATGGATTGCTCGAGTCCGCGGTCTGATTGCTCAGCATCGCCTGGTGCTGGAAGAACATTTTATCGTACTCGGATTTCATGCACAGATACCGGAAGTGGCGCGAGCTCTCCTCGCCGTAGTGAACGAGCTCTGTGGGGATGGCATGGAAGGATTATTAAGGATTGGCCTTTGAGTTTGCTTGCGGTTAACCTACTTCCGGTAACCGTCTCCTGCAGCTTCTCAAATTTGTCGTTTGTTTGCTTAAGCTCCCCGGAAAAGCGTTCGATCTTGGTTCCAAGATCACGAAAGCTCTTGAACAGCGTATCATTGATGGTGTTCTAGGAGTATGTCGTAAAAAATACGTAATGATAGTGTCATCTAATACCCACCCCTATGGCTGTTTGTACTGTTTGACGTATCAGTTCGAAAAACTCCTCGGGATCATCGTCCTTATCCTCATCATCGGCGGCACTCACCTGGGGCTGGCTGGACGACTGTGACTGGCGTGGACATGTATGTTTTTGATGAGGATGCTGGGGCGTGTGTGTGTTTCCATTTGTATGTGCTACATTCTGATGCTGGTGATTGCTGTTACTGTGATGGGTCAGCTGTTGCTGATGCAACTGGTGCTGTGGTGGATGCGGCATCACAGCCATTTGTATTGGCATCTCCATAGGCATGCGGTGTGTGTGCTGATGCGAGCGACGTTTGTTGATCGAACCGCTCTTGCCGCTCTGGTGTATCAGCTCCTTGTTGGAGAGCTCCGTGTCAGCGTTGTTATTGTTTTTGACTTCTATGGCGCTATAGTTGCTGCGTTGTGTGACAGACTTGCTGAGTGCGCAGCCGTAGCGTTGCTGATGCGGATGCTCTTTGGGCTTGGGAGCCAAGCCGTAGACACTGTTGTTAACCTTACCCTCGGGCAGCGTCAAATGTGCGACCTTATGCTGTTGGGGCTGACGTCCGCTGATCTTGCCTCCAATGTTGCTGCGTTGCGTATTCATGTTGCTGTATGGCGATGGCTGGGCGTTCGTCAAGATATTCGAGTTATTGCGTAGGTTTTTCGCCGTCAGGGGCATGTTCGTCTGAATGTAGTAGTCGTTGTCGGTCATATAGCTGCTCTGAATGCGAGTGTCAGGCGGACGCAAGTGAGCCAATCCAGTGGCACCTGCTCCGCCCCCACCCGCAATGCCTAGTAAGGGCAGCGCCTGCGACTTGACCGGATGTATAGCATCCAGCTTGGAGCCATATACCTCTTCGATCACCTTACGGCGGTTGGAGCGTACCATTTTCATATTCAGGGAGTAGAACGGAAGTAGGAACACAGCTTATCAAACTTTGTAATTGACACGCTGCCCGAGGTTTGTTTGTTTTTTGGCGTTTTTTTTCTATTAATAAGTTTCTGAATTTGTCAAAAAAATCTTGTAAAATTTTGTTTCTTTACATTTAGTATGTTGTTTCATCCGACGACTTATCTGGTATGAGCAGAGAGAGAGAGAGAGAGAGAGAGGGAGAGAACGCAAGATGAAGAGCCTACTTGATCGAGAATGAAAAAGGTATAGAAAAAGTTCAAATATATTTAGACGTATTAATGGATTCGGTAAATAATTCATCGAGAATGTGGTATCTTTTCAGTCTTCTTACTGTTAAGCTATTGTCTAATAGACTTAAGGCTAAATTATGTTCATGGTTGTGGAGTCTGTCGATGTATTTCTTACTAGTTTTCTTTATTTCTTCTTTAATGGTAAAGATACCACATTCTCGATCTCCCCGATAGATAAATCCAACAAACTGAAAAGATGTTATATATAATAGCAGGGCTCATTGGAAAACTGATATTTCTGTTAAATTAATATTAATTATACAATTTACTTATTGTTTATCAAAAACAGATTTTAAATATAAAAAGAGAGAGAAAAAAAAAGAAAAAAATCGAAGTAACACTTTTGGAATAAATTATATTTTATTTTATTTCAAGCATTGCACTATGGCTAAAAAGCACTTTTTTGGCATTAAGCAAACCAAAAGAGCTAGAGCTCTTCAAAATGGCATGAATGTTCGTTAGACTAAAGTAGAATTTCGGAAAAAAATGTAGTCTTTTGGACCACGCCTACCTCCCGCCCCCATACGAACTGGAACCCATTTACTTCGTTATTTATTATAAAAAAGGTATTAAAAAGATTAATTATGATAAAAGAACCTTTAAAACATTTTAGAACTTTAAAAAAATATAGTTGATTGACTGATTCAATGATTGTTTGGTTAAAAGTAATTTTATTGGAATCGCTCCAACGTGCGATTACATTTTCCTTGGTACTTGATTAACTAAGCAATACATTGGATAGTTTTCGTTTGCATTGTAATAGTTTCATCTTTAGTTAGTCAGTTTTTGTCAATACTCTTTAAATTATAACATTTTATTGCGTCTGCTTCACGATTGTTGTTGGTCCACCCCTCCAGCAGCGCTGCATAAAGAACTCATAAACATCTGCAAAACTTAAGACACACGAACAAAACATTGGACAAATAAATAACAACACACAACTATACAAAACATGTATTAACAACTAATTTAAATACCTCGACCTGTTATTTCCATATTTTTGCTTGTATTTATATAAAGTAGTGGACACCGTTGGACGATAGGGGAGGGAGAAAGGAATGTTGGGGAAGCCAGTCATCGTCTGCAAAGGCCAAGACTATCGTCGGAAGGCACTTTGGGGGCCCGCGCATTCACTCAAACTACGTGGAAGAGGAGGAGAGAGGGAAATAAGGAACACATGGAAAACTACCACTACGACCACTACCAACAGCAACAAAATAATGTCACACGGACCATTTGCCATATTTTATTTTCAATCTTTAACCTGCCTGTTGCACCGCCCAGCTTTCCCCTTACTCACAACGTGAGACTCGCTTACCCTGCCTGCTTTGTCTCACTCCCCCGTCCAGTTGGCATCGTGTGTTACTTCATAAACTCCGGAGGGGGTAGTTATAATTCCTCGCTGGCCCGTCGTCCGTCCTGGTCCCGTTGCTTCTGCTGCTTCTGTTCACGCACTCAAGCTTTAGCACTTTTTCTACGGCGGGGTCGTACTACAGGGCACATTGTCGATTGAGGGTTACGATGTCGTGGTGTGGCACGTTCGTCGGCACCCTGAGGTTGCGAAGCGCCCGTCGGGCTCCACCAAAACCCCTAAAGATTAGTAATTTCCTACCTTGCAAATTTACGTCATAACCTTCCCCCTATTCTGCTTGAGCGTTGCGCTTGAGAAAGTTTTTCATAGTTTTGTTATCTTATAGCGGCGAGCCGTCATAAGTCGCGCTTGCGAAACCGGTAGTCTTCGTTTTTTTAGTCACCGTGGAAGGCCTTCAAAACTGCTAGGCTCGCTGTCTTCCTCTGTCGTCCTTGGTGTATCTGCATCTGTATCTGTATCGGTCTCTATTGGGAGATAAGAATTTGATTACCCTGTACGGTCCTTCGGATTTCGGTGCTAGTTTCGCCGCGAAAGCGTCGGCTGCCTTGGATAGGTGGTGTTGACGGAGGAGAACCAGTTCTGGTCGCCACTCGCGACACGCGAGTGCATGCCTATTAATTGTTTAAAATTCGAATTTAATCTCATTCATTTGTGCGTCGGTTAGTAGTGTGTTTGTGCTTTTTATACCCGGTACTCGGAGAGTAAATAGGGTATATTGTATTTGTGCGAATAACGGTTGTATGTAACACACAGAAGGAAACGTTTCCGACCCCATACAGTATATATATTCTTGATCAGCATCAATACCAGAGTCGATTGAGCCATGTCTGTCTGTCCGTCCGTCTTGTTGAGCGCCTGTATCTCAGAGACCATAAAAGCTAGAGCCACCAAATTTTGCATCCATACTTCTGTATCCTCACACTGTTACAAGTGTATTTCAAAAATGAGCCACGCCATCTTTCGCCCCCGCAAAGAGCGAAAACTTCCCAAATTTACAATTTTGAAGATAAAAGAAAACTAAAAACGCCATTCCGTAGATATTGACCATATCTATCAGATCACCAAAGTGGGGAAGAATCCGCTGTCTATATACATAAAGTTATTAAAATTCCCGTGCGATGAACAAGTCGGTTTATGAAACAATAGTGAAAAGAAGCAGACAGAACAGAGACAAAACTCCAAGCTTCCAGACCTTTATTTTGTGGAGCAAGATGGAAATGCGGCCACGAATGCCCTCCCTTCCATGATCGCTATAATCCGATAAAGTTATACGGCGATCCCAAAAAAAGGTCTATGCCGCAATACCTCTGCCTACGTTCCCTACACGACGCATGACCCCCTCAAGTTAAGCGCACTTAGCAGGAGTTCATATTAACGCTTATAGCTAAATTTATTCAACATCGCAAAACACATCCAAAAGTATCGATTTTACACTAGATTTTGAAACAACTTATGTCGATTTACCCAAATATAAAAAAAGGAAAATAATATAAAGTAGGAAAGAAAATTATAAAAATATATCAAAGAAAAAGTAAATGTATGTATGAATATAATAGGTGAAATGTAACATTAAATTAAGATACGATTATTGAATATGGAATATAAATAATGAATATAATGAAAAGCATATGTTCAAAAAAAAGAAGGAAAACAAGAAAAGAATTTTTTTTTTTTTGGCTAGTGTACTTTTCGTTTTAGTTTCTCCATGTAAGCAACTGCATGGAATGCATGGCGTGCACAAATTACAATAGCAGCAGCAAAAGCAACAAAGCTCTGGCGCTAGTGCATAAACTTTTATGCGCTGGTCGGTTCGTCTAGCGGGAAGAACGCACCAAAAGGGAACAAAAAAAATTTGATCTTTTATCACTCACAGTTTGGTATGCATGTATGTATGCTTACAGTACTCCCTCGCTGAAAGGCCTTTCGCTGGGGTTTTGAAGAAGCTGTGGAATATATTAATTATGGTTCCCTGTTGGCTTTGGCCGACTGCACGTTATAGTTCAATATTTTTTTTTCTTTTACAAACTTCTTTTTCCTTTCTTTCTTCTTTCACTAATGTCACATAATTAAGGGGGAATTAAAGGTCGTTAAATCAAATAGAATATAATAATAGAAAAGAGTATTAGCATTAACAAAATTTAAATTTAATTAATTATTAAAATAAAAGACGGTGCTTTAGGCTTTGATTGCAGCCTAAGATATAATGGTGGCCCTCTTAGCGATACGACACTGTCGGCTGTGGCGCCTGCGCAGAGGTTACTGCAAGGTTACGTCATGGTCATTGTGAAGTTACATCATGGCTATGGTGTTACATAGGTTCTGCAGCCGAGCTTCCACCGGTCTCCCAAGAAAAATTCCCCACCCCTCAGCGTATTGCCAACAAAACGTCAATGCGCTGCTGCTCTGGCTGAGTGTGGGGGGAAAGCGTGCGAAGCCCAGTTGTGGGGGGGGGGGGGGTAGGAATACAGCCAAGAGCTATTATAAGAACCTTTGTTCGGGTCTCTCCCACATTGGAGATATTAATAATATCAGAATAAGATCAGAATTTTAGATAGACGAAAAGAAGAATTTTTCTGGGGGGGTCGTGCCGTTTAAATGCGATCGGAAGTGCTAAAACCGTGTTCTAAAAGCTTATGTTGACAGCTGTCATCAACGAAAGCTTCACCCAATCAGCTGATTTAACAGCTAAGCTTTGCTGAGCTAAGCTTTGATTCTGTCAGCATAATTTATCTAACTTTATCGCATGCGATAATATCATTCGCTGCTTGTAATTATTTTGTGTTCAGCTGCAACTCCCAGCGCCACCACAAGCATCGAAAACCTCTGACTTGGGTCAACATGAGTGAGTCGTCGCAACCCTTAGGAAGCCCAGTGCATAAGGGGGCGCCTCGGAACCTTTAACCTTTAACCTTTAACTCCAGTGAGAAGACCAGTTTGTCGCGCACTTTAGTGCTTATGCAAGCGGCAGATCGACATCAAGCCGGATGTCCCACATTTTAGCCCAGTGTCTAGAGCAAGAACATTGGGCGTGATTTTGACATAACTGACTGCGTTAATTTGCACATTTTCTGGGATTAAGTTCGATATGCCATTTTAAATCTAAGCCAGAGGGCTGTTAAATATATGTATATTCAAGCATCCGGAATCATGAGTGTTTGTATGAGACATAACATAATTCATTGAAATTACCATATCGTACTTGCATGTACGCTCGTGTTCATATATTGTTAATACCTTCTATTTTTCCCCAGAAACCAGCACCTAAGTCATCCTTGAGCTCAACGATTACGAAAGGAGTAAGGGTATTAAAATACCAAAACCAAAAGAAAACTGTGAGTTTGTAAACATAAAACCATATATGAACAGAGTATAAACGTAACCTGAGTGTTACTAAATATTTAATCATAACCGTTGTTGCTGGTTCATTATGATATAAAATCAAAAATTTAAATTTTAACCGTCCACACGTTCCCACCCCATTGTCAGCCTGCTATCGATATT